AAAAGATGGTCCAGATCAGTTATTAGGCTACCTTGCTATGCACAAGAGAATCAGAGAGCAGTATGGCCTTCATGATTCCAGAGGACTCGTTTACGATGAAATGACCCTTGATGACAATGAAGGACTAGTTCAACGGAGAACGATTGGGAAAAAAAGAAGGGGTAAAGTTGGAACATTCACGTCATTGGTGCGAGGTTAACTTGTTATTGAATTCATAGGGCTGGCGAAATAGAGGACCATGTCCTCATTTTTACAAAGCTCTAAAGAACTTTTCAGTTAAGAATAAAAAATATGAGTGTACACTCTTTTTTATAAGAAATTAGGATATTTTTCACTACTCAAAGTTTCTTTATTTTTGGCTAATTAGGGTAGAGTTTGGGAATTAAGTAGTTTGGGAGGGAAGGCAATTAGATCCACTATTATTGGATCTGAATAGGTACCCAGTACCCTTACTACCCAAACTTAACCCTTGCCCTAATCCTACCCCACAGCTGCACCTAACCGAACCTTACCCCACCCCGAGTGCACTTCCTGCATCTAGGTGCAGAGGTCTTCTGGTGCAATGTCTGGCGTAGACTTTAGATAGAATGCATCCTGGCAGAAATTATGGAGGGCTTGGAGGGCTGAAGCCCCCTAAATTAAAACTCGAATTTTTGTTTCAACTCTAACACCCTTACTTAATTTATAAAGCCCCGACAGTGAACCCAATCCAAGTAAAGTGAACAAGCTTGAACCGCAAACCTCAAACTAATTGATATTAGATTTATTAAAAAAAGAAGAAAAAAATCCTTATCTTTCCGATGTGGTATCTGTTGAATATTTGTGCACAAGGGACCTTTGTTTGAGACAAGCACGTCACACGTATTGACAGGGAGGCCAAAATGAGCAGCACAAACACCCTTCAAATTAGGTAGAGTTATTTCATCTAACTCAAATGATACAAATTCGCGTGTCTGAAACGGACGATAGGTTTGCTTGCTGTCGGGTTCTGAAGAAAGCTTCTGGACGACAATCTCGTGTGGGGCAGATCCGAGTTTTTTATTTTTATTTGATGCCTCGTTTTGTTTTTTCTTTTTGTTACTCATTACCTTATAAAGTTTTTCCCAAGTATCATGCCTCTTCATGATTAATTCAAATTAAATAGGCTACCACGAGGTATGCGTTCTTCGCTGTTAAGTGACAAGGCGAAGCAAAAAGGGCGCGAAAAGCTGCATGGAAATGAGGCGCTTATTCTTGCAAAGCATTGTGGTCTATGAGAACGCTGGTATGGTGGCCCAGCATTCTCATTCAAAAAACAGAAACATATTTTATGAAATATGAAAAAATCACAGATATTTGTGGTAAATTTGACATTTATTTGTGGTAAATTTGACATTAAATTCAAATTATTTTTTTGAAGTTTAAAATAACATGTCAAAAAGCAGAATAAACATAATAAAAAAATTAAAGAAACATTTCCATTTCCAAGTTTCAAATAGAATATTTTCTTTTTGTTTCTGAAAATCACATTGAAAGTTGTCAAAAGAAACATTTTCGTTTTCATTTTCAAAATGGAATGTCACGATCGGCCCAGCGTTCTCATAGACCACAATGCTTTGCAAGAATAAGCGCCTCATTTCCATGCAGCTTTTCGCGCCCTTTTTGCTTCGCCTTGTCACTTAACAGCGAAGAACGCATACCTCGTGGTAGCCTATTTAATTTGAATTAATCATGAAGAGGCATGATACTTGGGAAAAACTTTATAAGGTAATGAGTAACAAAAAGAAAAAACAAAACGAGGCATCAAATAAAAATAAAAAACTCGGATCTGCCCCACACGAGATTGTCGTCCAGAAGCTTTCTTCAGAACCCGACAGCAAGCAAACCTATCGTCCGTTTCAGACACGCGAATTTGTATCATTTGAGTTTGATGAAATAACTCTACCTAATTTGAAGGGTGTTTGTGCTGCTCATTTTGGCCTCCCTGTCAATACGTGTGACGTGCTTGTCTCAAACAAAGGTCCCTTGTGCACAAATATTCAACAGATACCACATCGGAAAGATAAGGATTTTTTTCTTCTTTTTTTAATAAATCTAATATCAATTAGTTTGAGGTTTGCGGTTCAAGCTTGTTCACTTTACTTGGATTGGGTTCACTGTCGGGGCTTTATAAATTAAGTAAGGGTGTTAGAGTTGAAACAAAAATTCGAGTTTTAATTTAGGGGGCTTCAGCCCTCCAAGCCCTCCATAATTTCTGCCAGGATGCATTCTATCTAAAGTCTACGCCAGACATTGCACCAGAAGACCACTGCACCTAGATGCAGGAAGTGCACTCGGGGTGGGGTAAGGTTCGGTTAGGTGCAGCTGTGGGGTAGGATTAGGGCAAGGGTTAAGTTTGGGTAGTAAGGGTACTGGGTACCTATTCAGATCCAATAATAGTGGATCTAATTGCCTTCCCTCCCAAACTACTTAATTCCCAAACTCTACCCTAATTAGCCAAAAATAAAGAAACTTTGAGTAGTGAAAAATATCCTAATTTCTTATAAAAAAGAGTGTACACTCATATTTTTTATTTTTAACTGAAAAGTTCTTTAGAGCTTTGTAAAAATGAGGACATGGTCCTCTATTTCGCCAGCCCTATGAATTCAATAACAAGTTAACCTCGCACCAATGACGTGAATGTTCCAACTTTACCCCTTCTTTTTTTCCCAATCGTTCTCCGTTGAAC